GGTTTTCACCATTGAGTTTTCGAGCTTAAGATGGCCATTCTGTATGCGCATTTGATTGTGCGCGCGCGAGCGCGCGCGTACGCGCGCGCGTGCGCGTACGCGCGCGCACGAGCAACCCTGAGAAGTTCAGTGTGCCACATTGTATTTTTCTGCGCTGAGGGCTCCAGAATATGAGTGAAACAATTGGTTTTCACCATTGAGTTTTCGAGCTTAAGATGGCCATTCTGTATGCGCATTTGATTGTGCGCGCGCGTACGCGCGCGCGTGCGCGTACGCGCGCGCACGAGCAACCCTGACAAGTTCAGTCTGCCACGTTGTAGAATTCCACCTTGGGGCCTCCAGAATACGAGTGAAACAATTGGTTTTCATCATTGAGTTTTTGATATTGGGATGGCTACTCTGCATGCACATTTGATTGTGCGCGCGCGTGCGCGTACGCGCGCGCTCTGGCAACCCTGAAAGAGCACAGTGTGCCACATTGTATTTTTCTGCGCTGAGGCCTCCAGAATATGAGTGAAACAGTTGGTTTTAACAATTGAGTTTTCGAGCTTAAGATGGCGACTCTGCGTGCGCATTTGACTGCGCGCGCGTGCGCGTGCGCGCGCGCGCCCGAGCAACCCTGAAACGCACAGCGTCCTACTTTTTTTTCTCCCCTTTTTCCACGTTGGGGCCTCCGGAATGCACGTGAAACGGTTGGTTTCCACCATTGAGCTTTCAAGATTGAGATAGCTACTCCGTACGCGAATGTGATTGCGCGCGCGCGAGCGCGCGCGTGCGCGCGCGCACGAGCAACCCTGAAAAATACTTCGCGTCACATTGTATGTTTCAGCGTTGGGGCCTCCAGCATATGAGTGAAACTGTTGGTTTTCACAATTGAGTTTTCGAGATTCGGATGGATACTCAGCACGCGCATTTGATTCCCGCTCGCGCGCACGAGGAACCCTGAAACGCACAGCGTGCTACAATGTATTTTTCTGCGACGAGGCTTCCAGCATATGAGTTCAACAGTTGGTTTCCACCATTGAGTCTTCGGGCTTAAGATGGCTGCTCTGTATGCACATTTGATTGCGCGTGCGCGCGCGCACGAGCAACCCTGAACAGTGCAGCGTGCCACATTGTATTGTTCTGCTTTGGGGCCTCCAGCAAATGAGTGCAACAATTTGTTTTCGCCGTTGAGTTTTCGAGATTCACATGGCCTCTTTGCGTGCGCATTTGATTGCGCGCTCGCGCGCGAGCAACCCTGAAAAGCACAGCGTGCCACATTGTATTGTTCTGCGTGGAGGCTTCCAGAAGATTGGTGCAACAATTGGTTTTCACCAGTAAGTTTTCGAGATTCAGATGGCTACTCTGCATGCGCATTTGATTGCGCGCCCGTGCGCGCGCGCGAGCAACCTTGAATGGCACAGCGTGCCGCATTGTTTTTTCCTGCGAAGAGGCCTCCAGCATATCAGTGACACCGTGGGCTTTCACAATTTAGCTTTCGAGCTTAAGGTGGCTACTTTGTATGCGCATATGCTTGTGCGCGCGCAGGGGCAACCCTGGTAAGTGCAGTGGGCCACATTGCATGTGTCCGCGTTGAGGCCTCCAGGATATCAGTGAAACAGATGGTTTTTCACCATTGAGCGTTCGAGATTGAGATGGCCACTCTGTATGCGCACTTGGTTGCGAGCGCGCGAGCGCGCGCGCGCGCGTGCGCGCGCGCGCGCACGAGGACCCCTGAAAAGCACAGCGTGACAGCGTGTCACATTGTATTTTTCGACGTTGGGGGTTCCAGAATATGGGTGAAACAATTGGTTGGCACAATTGGCTTTCGAGCTTAATATGGCCACTCTGTATGCGCATTTGATTGTGCGCGCGAGCGCGCGCGCGTGCGCGTGCGCGCGCGCACGAGCAACCCTGAAACGTACAGTATGCCACATTGTACTTATCTGCGTTGAGGCCTCCAGAATATGAGTGAAACAATTGGTTTTCATCATTGGGTATTCGAGATTAAGATGGCTACTCTGTATGCGCATTTGATGGGGCGCGCGCGCACGAGGAATCTGGAAACGCACAGCGTGCCACATTGTATTTTTCTGCATTGGGGCCTCCAGAGCAGGAGTGAAACAATTTGTTTTCACCATTCAGTTTTCGAGCTTATGATGGCTACTCTGCATGCGAATTTGATTGCGCGCGCGAGCGCGCGCGCACGCGCGCGCACGAGCAACCCTGACAAGCACAGCGTGCCACATCGTACTTTTCTGCGTTGGACCTCGTGAGTATGAGTGAAACAATTGGTTTTCACCGTTGGTTTTTCGAGATTAAGATGGCTACTCTGTATGCGCATTTGATTGCGCGCGCGCGAGCGCGCGCGCGTGCGCGCGCGCGTGCGCGTGCGCGCGCGCACGAGCAACCCTGAAAAGTACAGGGTGCAACATTGTATGTTTCTGCGTTGGGGCTTCCCGAATTCGGGTGAAACACTTGGTTTTCACCATTGAGTTTTCGAGATTAAGGTGGCTACTCAGTATGCGCATTTGATTGCGCGCGCACGAGGAACCCTGCAAAGCACAGTGTGTCGCACTGGATTTTCCCGCGAAGAGGCCCCCAACATGTGAATGAAACAGTTGGTTGTCACCATTGGGTTTGCGAGATTAAGATGGCGATTCTGCATAAGCGCTGGCACGCGCGCGCGTGTGCTGAGAACGCGCGTTCGGTTGCGATGCATCATTCCGCGCGGGGGCCCCGTCGGAGTGCGAGCCGAACATTTGGCGAACGCCGTTTTATCATCGAGCGCAGGGTGGTCATGCTGCATCGGTTCTTGCGCTGCGCGCGCGCGAGGGTACTGGGATCTGCGCGTTGCATCGCGCTGCGTCCAGCTTCGTTGGTACCGTGCGAATACGCGTGTCACACATGGACTTCACGGTTCGTTTTTTCGAACTCAGGGTGGCCATTCGGCACTGGTTGTTCTAGCGTGGCGAGCGCAAGCCGGCAGAAAGGGGGGAGTCGCGCGTGCGTCGCAGTGCCGCCTTTGGGCGAATCATTGGTTTTCGAACAGAACATAGCCATTCGGCGTTCTGTTTTGAGTCGCCCGCGTGGGAGCTGCGCGGCGCGTTGCGCGCGCGGGGCGCGAGCTAGTCCTTTGGGCCCGCAATCAGCGGGGGCCCGCGCCTCGGCGCCAGCCGAGCCATGTCTGCGGATTGCAGCTCGAAGGCGCGCATTCGCGCAGGGCGCTGTTGGGCGCGCGCGCGCGCTCGGCCGCGCGAAGCCGGACCCCTGCGATCAAACTAATGCCCCGAGCGGGCCCAATGGGCGCCCTGCTCCCCGCCCGCACTTGCGTTCGGGGCAGACCTGCTCGGGATAGCACTGCGCGCGGCGCGTTGGGGGGCGGGGGGGTGGGGGGGGGCGCTGCCGCGCCCGCCAGTGTCAATGTCCATCGCCGAGAAGGCGCGCTCTTGCGCTGGTCTCTCTTGGGGCCGCCAGCGCGCGCTTTCGAACTAGGGCCCGCATGCGCCGCGGCCGCGGCGGGCGCGACGCGCGGGGGCAGGGGGGGGCGGGGGGCGGGGAGGGGCGCAAGATGCGCGCCCTCGTAGTCCGAGCTGGCAGAATGTCCGAGGTTCTGGTGTGCTCGGCAGACCGCGCACTGCCCCAGCTCCGTCCGAGCCGGGAGGATGGTCGAGGTGCGGGGGGGGGTCGGCAGACCGCGCATTACCCCAGGTCCGATCCGGGAGGATGGCCGAGGTGCGGGGGGGGGTCGGCAGACCGCGCATTACCCCAGGTCCATCCGAGCCGGGTGGATGGCCGAGGTGCGGGGGGGGGGCGGCAAACCGCGCATTACCCCAGGTCCATCCGAGCCGGGAGGATGGCGGAGGTGCGGGGGGGGGTCGGCAGACCGCGCATTACCCCAGGTCGCTCGCTCGCAACATTCGCCGAATCGTCGGCCGGGAGGATGGCCGAGGTGCGGGGGGGGGTCGGCAGACCGCGCATTACCCCAGGTCCATCCGAGCCGGGAGGATGCCCGAGGTGCCAGGGGTCATAGTACAGTGGGGTGCCCACAGTGGGTGGGGGGCTGCACATTAGGTGACCACCTCTGGTGGGTCATTGCAGTCTGCGCGCGCAAGCTGCGGGGGGGGTTGGGGCGCGGGGTGCGATCCTGGTGGGGTGTGCCCGCGGCGGGTGGCGCGTCTGGAAAGGGCCTCGCAGGGTGGCGCGCCTGCTTCGAGAAGCTTTGCGGCGCGGGGTGCGCGCCCTTCGGCTCGCGCGTCCAATGGGTCGCCCGTCGTGGGAGGGGTCGCACAGAGCGAGGTGCCCGCCTCGGCTATGCACTTGACGGCGAGAGGTATGCCGCGGGGGGCGACTGCAGAGTGGAGCGCCCGCCTTGGCGGACCTCTGGGGCGGGGTGCGACTGCCGCGCGGGCCCGGAATGCGCGGCGTCGGGCGGCCGCCGCGGCGGGCTGCGCGCGGGGCCACTCCACTCCGCTGGGCCCCTCAGGGGCCCGCGAACGCGGCGACAGTTGCGCGCTTCGCATCCGCGCAAGGCGCCGCGAGGTCCCAGCTGGGTCCGCCTGCCATTCCTCCCAGCAGTAACTCTCAGGGGCCTGCGAAAGTAGCTGCGCGCTTCTCGCGCGCCTCTGGGGGGGGGGGGGGGGCGAAGAGAAAACATAGGAGAAAGAAAAAGAATAGAAAGAGAAGAGGGGGGGCGAAGAGAAAACAGAACAGACAGGAGGGGGGAAGAGAAACCATAGGAGAAGAGGAGAAACAGAAGAAAGGAGGCAGGAAGTATGGGGGCATTAGAGCGGGGGGGGGAAAGGGGGGAAGAGGACAACTCGACCACGGTGCTCTATCCGAAACGAGAACCCCACACAGGTTGGTTGGTAGTAAATCTCTCTCACCCTGCAAGGGGGCGGTCGAGCCCGAGGGGGCGGCGGCGGCCGTGGGCAGGGAGCTCGTCGGGGAGGCCGTCGCATTTCTACCGCGACGCCATTGCTGGGGGCGGAAGGCCCGCCCCCCCCCCCGCTGCCGAGCCAGAGCCAAACTACGAGGCCGACCGCGTCGCCGTCGAAGATGGCGGCCAATCGGAGGAGGCGCTGCACGCGCGGGGGCTTGGCCCCGACGACATTGCTTGGCCAGCCGATATTGGCGCCGAGGAGGACGGCGCCATCGTGCAGGCCGCTGGCGCGGTGGATGGGGATGATGGTGGCGTCCGAAGGCCCGCGCCATCGGCTGGTGGAGCTTTATCCTGCAGCGGCCGCCCTGCCCCTGATGCCCCGCCGCCGCCAGCCCAGTCGCCGCGCGCAGGAGGCGAGGGGGCGGTCGCCGTTGGGAGCGACGAGGTCGTTCTTGCGAGCTTGCGTTGGATGCCAGCTTGGGAGGTGGGCTACGTCTTCCGCCGCGGGGTCTGCGTCGGTCAGCTGTCGCAGGAGGGGGCTTCTCTCAATGGGTGCAGGCACGCTGTGTCGCAGAAGGTCGGCGAGCGAGCGATCATGCTCTGACTTGCCCCAGGCCAGGACGTGCAGGGCCATCTGCCACCTGCTGAGAAGGCGCGAGCGAAAGCGACGCTCAAGGCAGAGCACCTTGCTTCGCCTGATCCTCGGGTGACCTGAGATGTTTCCAGCTGGCTCTCACTCTGAGACTAATGGTGATGCGATCGCGCATTTTGCAACTGCAGTCAAGCCACTACGCGCGTGGACATCGCCACGCGCGCGCATGATGTGGACAAAATTACACATATTGCCGACCCGATCGCTTGCAGGCTGACTTTCCGCGCTTGCCAACTTGCAAAGACGCTAACACCCGCTGTTCGGGGCCTCGAGTCAAGTGATTCAAGTGGGCACGCACGTGGGCCCTACGGGGCTCGCGTGCCAACGTCTGTAAGCGCACCCTGGGGCCCTGCAGGGTTCGCGCACTGCGCTCTGGCCGCGCATTCCACATAGTCAGGACTTCGGTGAGCAGCGGGGCGACAGTTGGGAGATCGCTAACAATTTACACGTACTGGACACCGCGGGACACCGCTGCGCACTGCGACGCGGATGCCGCGGGCAACCGCGAGACACCTCGGGTAACGATCGCGACACCACGGGGCACCATCGGAACACCGCGGCGGGACGCCCCCCCCCCCCAGCCACAGCGTGCCATAGGGGATGGGGCGTAGTTCTGACCTTACGGCGCCCTAGCTGGAAGAGGGCTCACGTCTGCATCGCCCGTGCGCGCTACGCGCGTGCGAAACCGAAGCCGATTTCCAGGTGTGGGGGGCTCCCTTTTCTGTTGCGATCGCACCCTGTCTCCCCCGACAAGTACAGGGGCTGCGGCTCATTCCCGACAGGGTGGATCACCCCAGGCCTCCCGTATGCGATCGGGGCTCGCGTTCCCGATGTGTGTGCGCGAGGTCGTATGTGCGCGCGTTTACTTACTCGCGTGTGTTTTTTCCACAAGTACCTGTAATGTAATTATCCAAGTAGATTTGCCATATAGGAATTTTAACTCAAACCGTACTAATTGAGCCGTGGGCCCCCCTTGATTCCTGCGCCCCTTCAATTCCCATGACTACGCCTATGGCAATGTCTGTGCCCCCCCCTAACCCCGATGCCTATGCCTATGCCTATGCCTCTACCTATGCCCACCTCTGAGCGCTCCTATGCTTATGTCTATACTTGTGCCTATGCCAATGCTTGTGCCTATGCACCACCTCCGAACGCTCCTCCACCTTTTTGCATGCTGCTTGCTTCTTGCTTGCGCTTGATCGCTTGCTCTCGCTTGCTTGTTCTTGCGTGTTTGCTTGCTCGTGCTTGCTTGTTTTTGTTTGCCCTTGTTTGCTCGCACTTGATCGCTGGCTCTTGCTTGCTTGCGTTTGCTCGCTTGCGCTTGCTTGCTTCCGCTTGCTTGCGCTTGCTTGATTTTGCTCCTCCCGTCCTGCTCATGTCCTCCTTTCGTCCTCCCCCTCCCATCTTCCTCTCGTCCTCCTCCTGTCCTCCTATCCATTTGGAGTCAACGCTGGCTGATAGTGTTCAGATTCCATCTCGGATAATATTATTATCAGGCCCCCCGTCGAAGAATTCGGCCCGGAGCGTTCCCGTCGATGAGAAATGCACGTTTTCAATTCTGGGTGCCGTTCTCGACCAGCGGACGCCGCCCGAGCGGGTCCCCCATTCGCTTCCTGGGCGGTCCAGCGAAGCTTCGAATCAACCCAAGAGGCACCGAGAACGGCTCATGAACGGCCACAAAGGGCCGAACGTGATTTCAAGACGGCCATAGAGAGGCCCCTCAGAGGCCCCATAGCACACACCAAGAGGCCCCCGAAGGGACCCCTCAAAAATAAAATCGTCCCATCCCCATGTGTAAACATATATCATTTATCATTATTTCAGGACACGGGAACCCCCCCCCCGATGGGGAACACCCTGGGCCCACCTAGTTCCAAGGGGTTCCCAAAACACTCCTCAGACAATGCAGTGTTGAGTCTGCGGCCCTATAGACTCTTCGGAAACGCTCACAAGACGGCCCAAGCCACCCAAGACGACCGAATATGCCGCCAAAACAGCCTCAGAGAGGCTCCGCATGGCGCCAAAACGGCCGAAAAGCGCTCCAATAGAACCCCAGATGGTCTCCAGAGGGCCCACGAAGCCTCCCAAACGACCAAGGAGGCCCCCAAGAAGACCCTCGACAATCAAACAACATT